CAAAGTCTTTTGATTGCGTCAGACATGAAATACTTTTAAAAAAAAAACTATTTATTTATGGTTTACGAAATGCAACATTGCACTAGTTTCAAAGCTATTTATCCGACAGAATAAAAATAATAAAAGTATGATAGATTTTTAAAAAATTCGGATATTAAACACAGCGTTCCATAGGGATCACTTTTGGGATCAATTCTTTTCATAATCTATACGAGCTCTAACACAAAAATGTTCGGACATCAACTGATTTTGCGAAAAAGTTTGAAAATTTTCTTAAGGGATTCAATATCATATGTTTTTCATTTATAAGACATAATATGTATTGTTTACATCATATTTATGAAATTGTTTTCAAATAAACTAATATTGATTAATAAAACTAAATTAATGTTGATAAAAATGCAATATTTGCTGACACATAAATGTTCGGACATGTTAGTAAAACAAATAATAGCAAGCCATGGAAACAAAAAAAAGTGTTTCTATTTTGAAATTTTAACTTGAGAATTAATTCGATTATCAATTGGCTCCAAAATGTCACGTGGTAAAGCAACAAATGGTGCAATTAGAGAATTAATAGTAAAACTGTTTAACCAAGAAAAAACCTTTCGGGATATTGCTAAACAAATAAAAGTCCACGGTGTCAGATATTGTGAAAAAATATGGAGAAACGAGTTCAACTCAAATTTCAAGACATGGTGCTGGTCGGCCACGCAAAGTCACTTCCCGAATGCAAAGATCTCTTGTTCGGATTTGTAAAACTGATCGCCGAAGTACTTTAAGGGAAATAACAGCAAAATGGAATGAAGAAATAATTGGAAATGTTTCACAAGAAACGTGTCGTCGCTGGATCCATAAGTCTGGTTTACATTTTTATAAGGTACGTTGGTTACGTTTAAGGAAAATCTCATATTTATGCAGTGAAATCATTGGTTTAGGCAAAAGAAAAGCCGTTGCTGACGGAAAAACAAAAGAAAAGACGATTAGCGTGGGCAAAGGAACGCGCAATGTGGACTTTTGAAGACTAGAAAAGAATAATTTTTAGCGATGAATCAAAATTTGATGTTTGCGTGGGTGACCATCGATCACGTGTTATAAGAAACAAAAATGAAGCGTTTCACAAAGAGAAAAATAAAATTTCCATCAGGTGTTATGGTATGGGGAAGCATGTCTGGTTTCAGTGTTGGAAAACTTGCACTTTATAGACGGAATTGTAAACGCAGAAAAATATCAGAACATTCTTGAAACCAATTTGTTAGTGTCAATTCCAATTTTATCACCTGATGGAAACTTTACTTTTCAACAAGATGGCGCCTCCTGCCATACAGCCAAGACCACAAGAAAGTGGCTGCAGGACAACAATATTTCCGTCCTTGACTGGCCCTCCAGTAGCCCTGATCTAAATATAATCGAAACTGTATGGCACAAGATGAAGCAGCAATTAAGAAATGATCCACAGCGCAACATTTCTGATTTGCGGATAAAAATTGCAAAATATCTGGGATTTTTTTACCGCGGAAGATTGCGAAAAGCTTGTTAAAACTATGCCTGATAGAATAAAAGCTGTTATTAAGGCAAAGGGAGATGCAACCAGCTATTGATGTGATTTGTCCGAACATTTATGTGTCAATAAATATGCATTATTATCAACATTAGCTTAGTTTTATTGATCAATATCAGTTTATTTGAAAACAATATCATAAATATGATGTAAAACAATACATATTATGTCTTATAAATGAAAAACATGATATTGAATCCCTTAAGGAAATTTTCAAACTTTTACGAAAAATCAGTTGATGTCCGAACATTTTTGTGTTAGGGCTCGTATCAACGATTTAACTAAGATTGGCATCTCCGGAAAATGTACATTGATTGCTGATGATACCTCTCTTTTCTGGCATGGAAGAGATACGGATACTCTAAAACATGCTGTCACATGACCTGCACTCAGTCAAAAGCTGGCGTGACTCAATTTTTTAAGTTTTACACGAACAAAACAAAAGTAATAACTTTTAAATTTCCATATGATCAACTTCGTCTTGGTGAACAGTTGATTCTAAATACACGCTGCTCCAGATTTGTAGGCCTCTACAATGATAATCAACTAAAGTTTGATGAACACGTTGCAAACTTAAACAAAAAACTGACATCTGGATGCTTTGCAGTTAAGGTTATAGCAAGGGGCGAACCACTATTTATAAAAATGTACATGTATTGCCGGGGGGATTGGCGTCTCTATAAAAGACAAACAATTTTATTATGCATTAAAAAAAATCAGGTGAAATGGAAACAATTCTGGATCACCTTGGAAATATCTTCTATAAAAGTAGATAAGAAATTTGATGAACTGTGCCAAAAATGGCATTTTAAAATTAATATTAATAATTGATGGAACAACACTTCCGATAAACGTAAACTACAATTTATTTAATTTTAAACAAGATGTCTTAGATGGCCTAACAAAGCACCTACTTCGACAATGGCGAATAGGTGAAATGTCAACTGACTGCTCGCGATTTTTAAAGATTGCTAGAGATTGTTCAGCAAGTGAGGGTGATTTTGGGGAGACTGCGAGGTAATTCTGAATGACTGCGACGATTTCTTAGCGATTGCCACTGATTGGACTGCGGCGATTTTCAATGGGATTGTGGACATTTTGTACATGTATTGCGGGAGTGATTCGCTCCTCGGGTTATAGCTAAAGAGCTGGGAAGTTTGTCAGCAAGAAATGTGTACTTTTCACTAATAGACACTCATTTAAGGTATTGTGTTGTATTTTGGGGAAACTGCTTACAATATCTCCTTAACTAGGTATTTTTTTTGTGCGTCATCAGTTTCAACTACCAGGGTTATTTCGCCTCGTATTCTGTGTAGGCTTTGTTACTGTTTTCCAGCGCCACTTTAGGAACAGAACTGTTAATTAGAACCCAACAGGGAATGGTCGAGTGGGGAATCCTTCCAAGGCATCAGAATTAATTTTAAATAATTAAATTAAATAAAAAAATACCGGCCAACGGTATGATTCAAACCCGGGACCCTTGGATCCACAGGCAGACTCTACCACTGAGCCACCCACCCCCTAAAACTAGGTATTTATTTAAAAAAAAAAAAGAGCTATAAGATTCTTACCCAAAGCTGGTTACCGAGATCAGTGTAGACCTTCATTTATCAACTATATTGACTTCAACTAGTTTATTTAGTTTGGAGACTGTATGATATACACAAACAAATTTCAAATGTAACTACCTAGTGGAGACATTACAACACTAGACAAAATAATAACTTATTACTTCTGATTCCACATTCATTTCTAATTAATAATCTGCAAAAGTCCTGAAATCTTTAATCATCTACCAAATGCCTTAAAATCAATTATATCTCTATCTTTATTTAGGAATACTATAAAAATATATTAACTGAAAAACCATATTACATATTACAATCTGTTTTATAATTACGAATTTTAAAATTAGGTATATTTTTTTTCTATAGGTTTGTTTATATTATTTAACAATGTGAACGTTAACATCTAACTATTTTTTTTGTAAACAATAGGTGGGATTTATTCTAGATGTATGTGCCCACAAGGTGAAAAAACCAAAAAATAAAAAGAATCTGGCTATCATATTATTAATATTAAACACACTCACTCTCATATTATTTGTTATATTTTAAAAATGTTAGAAAGTGATGGAATCTATATATCACCAAAGACAGATAGAAGCATGTTGTTGATTGTCATTTTGAAGTATGAAAAAAGACAAACAAGATTAAGTAATTCGCAGCTGATTTCAGTACTTAATTGAATATCAGTGTAAACTAAATGAATGTACTACAAATAAAAATAACCAAGTGCAATCTCTATTTTTTTTTTGGATTTCATACTTTTTCAACAAGAAGTACTTATGTTTAGTATTTTCAAAGAGATTAATTTTTAATGAGGACTGCTGCTATGAATGCAATTTTCAACTTTTCTTTTTTTGTAATAAATTTGTTTCTTTGCCCTTATGGAAAACAATTATGTAATGGAAAAACTTACACTCTGTAATCATTTTAATACCATTTTTTATTAGTTCTACTCTGATTGATCTACATCAATTTATTGCCTGACAATTCAGAGCTGACATTTCATTTTGCAACAGTTCACTGCTATGACAATTTATCACTATTAGCGTTTTCACTTCCACTGCCCTGTCTGCGAGAAGTGCACATAAAAGATGAGCGATATTTCGATACCGGTTACTTTTTAGAGTGAAAAGTAACTGGTATCGACATATCTCCCACCTTTCATATGCTCTCAGGGCAAGTCGAGTACTGGAATCGAAAAAGCTATATGACAATTCATTGCAACAATAATTCATCACTACAAAAATATGTTTTTATTATATCTAATTTTGGCTGGTTGCATTAATTCTTTACTATTTTAATTATTAAGTATCTTACATTTATATAATATGCTCAATAAATAAAAAGACTGTACAATTATTAATAATAAAAGTATATGTTTTCTTTGATGTAAATCGTGCATTAATCAACAAATTATGCAATTGGGAATATCTATTTTATAAATTATATAAATAATCTTTTGCTTGGATATCATAAACAAACACAATTAGTTATTAACTTTTCATTATCTAAATAAAAAAAATTTCAATATTACTAATAAAAATTCAACAAATCTGGTGATTCATTATAATTGAGTTTATATATAACTACCAAAAATATATTTATGAAATTATTCAAGAATCTTATTTAATCACTGAAAATATTGTGTAAATAATATTTATAACTATGGACTGTAGTTCATGGATAGTCATCCTTAAAAAATGTGAAATCATAGGATTGTAATCCAAACAAAAAAGAATACAGACTATATTTATCAGTTTCATTGATTCTAAACCTTTATTGAAAAATAAACTAAATTAAACTACTTTTTTTGACCACAAAGTAAAAATAAATCACTATAACCATGGAAAATATATATTTTTTACACTTACCTCTATACAGTGATTACATACACTACAGTGGGAACACCTTGGTGGCCTGTAGAACTTGCAAGTAACACACCATTTCATCCTAACTGTTATCCCATTAATATCAACATTCTTATAGAGAGGGGCTCTAAAGTCATCTTCCCTGTCTTCGTCAGGAGGTGCTGCAATAAATACATAAATAAGCCAAAAAAAATCGCACCAAAGCAAGACGTTCATTCACCTTTGGGAATTACTCCTGGATCCATGAAAGTAGCCAAAGTAAAATTTGCTAAAACGAAGAAAGTAATGACTCCTTGGCACGCTGGAACCCATGGGTGATCCGCTAGATAATACTGGGCCCTAAAACGACAATAGGAATGTCTAAATTTGGACAGTATAAACACACAAATAACTTACGGATAGTAAAAAAATAAAGAAGTGGCAACGATGAGCAACGTCCATGCAAATGTAGCCGGTATGTATCTAGTTTTAAGATCACACTTGGGCATAATGTTTTTTCTTTAATTAGATGCACCCTTAAGTTCTAGCGAAAGTCTGAAAATTCAGTCTCATACAGGTCAACATGGCTGGCAGAGTCAGACACTACGGTTAAAAGTTGAAGTTAGTTTTCAATGTCAACGAAATGTCAATGTCAAATGTCATTCGACAAAAAATAACCTGAAGTTGTTACGAGTTATGTTCACCCTAAGGCCCGTATTATGCCGCGTTTGAGAATTCACATCAGATGCATTTATTACATCTCGAGCGTTTTTTTATTCATATCGGACACATCTGTCCCATTACATTTACGTATACTGAATCACGTGATCAAAAATTTACTACATCTCAGATGCATACGATGTGGATTCTCAAACGCGGCATTTATGAACAGAACTTACGTGAGTCGGACAATCATTCCTCAAGAGGTTCTTTCGTTCGCTGTTAGTGCAGTGTCCACCAGTGTAAATTACACCAATTACACCACCTTTATTTACCTAGTTTACTTCCCTCTTATTCCTGATACACATGTCGAGTGTAATTCACTCCTGCTAAATAGCTGGTGGAGAAAATATCCACCAGTGTACACCATATCACCGACAGGAAGGTATAGTGGGTTTTACACCGGGCCAAACGAAAGGTTTAGTGTAAGTTGGTGTAGTTCATTCCTACACCAGTGGGACGAACGAAAGAACCTCATGAGTCGGACTCAAAAGGTTCTTTCGTTCGTCCCATTGGTGTAGGAATGAACTGCACCAACGTACACTAAACCTTTCGTTTGACCCGGTGTAAAACCCACTATACCTTCCTGTCGGCGATGTGGTGTCCACTGGTGGATATTTTCTCCACCAGCTATTTAACAGGAGTAAATTACACTCGACGATGTGTATAAGGAATAAGAAAGATGTAAATTAGGGTAAATAAGGTGGTGTAACTGGTGTAATTTACACTGGTGTACACTTCACCAATAGCGAACGAAAGAACCTATAGATAAAGTTTTATTAATTTATCTATGGGGGTCAATTCTCGACTTGTAGGAACCTCTTCCTATAGGAATTTGTGACACTTTCCTACATGTAGACAAATGTCATAAATTTCCGATGTGTAGAAAAATGTCAAAAAATCCTATAGGAAAAGGTTCCTACAAGTCGAGAATCGACCCCCTGGGGGTCGATTCTCGACTTGTAGGAACCTTTTCCTATAGGAATTTGTGACACTTTCGTGTATGTAGGAAAATATCATAAATTTTCGAGGTATATAAAAATGTCAAAAATTCCTATAGGAAAATATTCCTACGAGTCGAGAATCGACCCCCTGGGGGTCGATTCTCGACTCGTAGGAATATTTTCCTATAGGAATTTTTGACATTTTTACATACATCGAAAATTTATGACATATTCCTACATATAGGAAAGTGTCACAAATTCCTATAGGAAAAGGTTCCTACAAGTCGAGAATTGACCCCCTGGGGGTCGATTCTCGACTTGTAGGAATATTTTCCTATAGGAATTTTTGACATTTTTATGTACATCGAAAATTTATGACATTTTCCTACATATAGGAAAGTGTCACAAATTCCTATAGGAAAAGGTTCCTACAAGTCGAGAATCGACCCCCTGGGGGTCAATTCTCGACTTGTAGGAACCTTTTCCTATAGGAATTTGTGACACTTTCCTACATGTAGACAAATGTCATAAATTTCCGATGTGTAGAAAAATGTCAAAAATTCCTATAGGAAAAAATTCCTACGAGTCGAGAATCGACCCCCTGGTCGGACTTGGGTAAGTCGTCCTTGAATTAAAATCGAAGTTCGGTTACAACGTCTCTGTAGTTCGAGGTGGTTCCGGTGGTACACTGGAATTTAGAGATGGCTATTAGCAAATCTGTAAGGCCCGTATTTATAAACAGAACTTAGGCCCGTATTTATAAACAAAACTCAGCTGAGTCGGACTTGGGTAAGTCGTCCTTGAACTAAAATCGAAGTTCGGTTATATCGCGTGAATTTAGAGATGGGTAGTAACAAATCCGTAAATGAACATAACAGTTACAGATTTGCTAATAGCCATCTCTAAATTCCAGTGTAACACCGAAACCACCTCGAACTAAAGAGACGTTGTGACCAAACTTCGATTTTAGTTCAAGGACGACTTACCCAAGTCCGACTCACGTAAGTTCTGTTTATAAATACGGGCTTATTTGAGTCGGACTTGGGTAAGTCGTCCTTGAACGAAAATCGAAGTTCGGTTATATTGCGTGAATTTAGAGATGGGTATTAACAAATCCGTAAATGTACATAACAGTTACAGATTTGCTAATAGCCATCTCTAAATTCCAGTGTAAAACCGGAATCACCTGGAACTTCAGAGACGTTGTAACCGAACTTCGATTTTAGTTCAAGGACGACTTACCCAAGTCCGACTCAGGTAAGTTCTGTTTATAAATACGGACCTTACTGTTATGTTCATTTACAGATTTGTTACTATATACCCATCTCTAAATTCACGCGATATAACCGAACTTCGATTTTCGTTCAAGGACGACTTACCCAAGTGCGACTCAGCTGAGTTTTGTTTATAAATACGAGATGTTCACAGATATGGATAGAGGAGATAGGAAATGTCTTTTTCATTAGGCACGTAGAATTGAGAGCGGCCATCTTTAAATAAACAACCCACGCACTTGCGTATTGATTGCATATTGAAGTTTACAGGATAGGACTAACCACATTTAAACATAATTCGATAATATTAAGGATTAAGGGCCGATTCCACCGTTGTGTTAAACGGAGATTAAAATGACCTTGTTAATTTAAAAATGTTATTTTAAACTTCGTTTAACACAACTGTGGAATCGGTCCTTAATTACACAATATAACCAATAAAAATAAAAATTCGTAATATAATTTTAATTTTCTTTTTTTATGGATTTTAAGAGATTTCTAAAAATGAAAAACCTAGTCTTTTTTGAAACTTTATTTAAAATTAAATAAAAACATAAAAGATATTTAAAATAACATTTCATATGAAATGAATACAACAATCCAAGGCCGTAATATATTTTATAGCAAATAAATCTGGAATCACGTGATTTAAACAAAACTTTCTTATTAAAAACTATAATTTTGTATGTAAATTATTACATAGGAATATTGATTGCTCAGATCTTGAAAGTATTTTATTTCATATAAAAACTACAAAACTAAGGAATTCAAATGTATTTGTAATAACGATCGTTCCACAGTACTATGGCATGCACGCAGGGCATACATTAAGAATCAACAATCAAAATAATTAAAAGATTATAGGTATATTTTTCAGTAAATTTAAAACTATTATCAGGAACATCTAGTCAAATATTTTATTAAAAAAGGAAAATAAATCCAAACTTAAATGTGACCAAAAGGTAAAATAAATGAAAACAAGAAATTCTCTATGCCATGTGTTACAAAATAAAACGAGGCGACCATTTCATTTCAAAAAACAACTACTTCTTTGGCTAATTCCGCAACAGATATTGAATTATATCCCAAGAGAAACAACAAAGTTAAAAAATTAATATGTGCTATGATTGAACGTTTACGTTATCCGTAACGTACATGTTAGGCCGAGTTTTAACATTAACGAGACAAGTTCGTATGATGGAAAACTTTTCCAACATATTACTGTAATTTTCCGCCTGTTATGTTCCAATTTAACAGTTTTCCATCATACAAACTTGCCTCGTTACTGTTATAACTCTGCCTAACATGTACGTTACGGATAACGTAAACGTACATGTTAGGCCGAGTTTTAACAGTAATGAGGCAAGTTCGTATGATGGAAAACTTTTTCCAACACGTTACTGTTATTTTCCGCCTGTTATCTTCTAATTTAACAGTTTTCCATCATCCGAAATTGCCTCGTTACTTTTAAAATTCGGCCTAACATGTACGTTACGGATAACGTAAACGTTCAATCATAGCACCCATTATTTCAACATTCAAACTTTGATCTTGCTTACCAAAGATAACGTTATTCTTAGACCAGTTTTGTCCTCATCAGCAAGAAATAGACATTCTCGATTTCGGTCACTAAAGAAATCTGCAAAGGATGTAAATTGAACGATCAAACGAACTTCTGGAAGTGAAGTTCGATCGTAATAATAAGAAGCGCCTCGTCCGAAGTGATCACTAGGTAGTAAGGTAGTACAGCCTCGGGCCCGTATTTATAAACAAAACTCAGCTGAGTCGGACTTGGGTAAGTCGTCCTTGAACTAAAATCAAAGTTCGATTACAACGTCTCTAAAGTTCTAGGTGGTTCAGAGGAGCGGCTAAATCTTCAAGTGAAATCTTTCGTAACAGAGCATGCGCGAAATTTTACACTGATTTGACATTGACTTTTGATTGACAGTTTTTGTGATTTTGTGCAAGATCTATGGCAAGATCGAATCATGAAATAAACAAAAATGTAGACATTTTTATGAAAAATATCCATAATATTATACAAAACGATGCAACTCGTTTCAATATAAATAAATACAAAAATAAATATTTGAATGGTTGCAAATGTATTATTGTTTTGAATTTGAAATATCAATAGCTACATTGGAAAAACAATTTATATAGTCCAGATAAAGAAACAATCTTTTGATTCGTTTTAGAAGTAGTAAGTTATCAATGTATATCTATATCAGATACTTTTTTAGTCACCATTTATAATAGTAAAATTAATTTATTTTTTTAGGTATTCTGTATTCATAGTTCAACAACAAAAAGAAAACGTTAACAAAAAATTCAGGGCTCTTGAAAATTACAAAGAAATTGCACAAGTTTAATTGTTTTAACAAAGAGAGCAACTGGAAAATGTAATATTTATTTTTAAACTCGCTATAGACATACATTGCAATTACATCTGGAACTGCAGAAAGGGGATCAAATTAATTAAGGCCAACACACAAACTTTCCAGTGAAAAGATTTTAAATAAAACATGATTTGTACACATTATATATTATTGAAATTTTAGGATTTTGGAAGAACAAAGAAATATATCTTCTACAGATTTATTAAGAAAATTCTTATAATGACACCCAAAAATATTAGTAATGTAACACAACACTCTTATAATATATTATTAATGTGGTAAATTTAAAAATATTTTATCTAAAAGCTTGGCACATACACAAGTGAGTTTT